CTGTTAGATTACCAAGGTGAATCGCCCGATGAACAAGCATTGGCGTATGCCGCGGCTGCCTATGGTTTTATGCTCATTGAACGAACCTCCGGCCATATCGTCATTGATATTCATGGAGAAAGACTAAAGTAAGTTGCTTATTGACAAACTTTACTCCAAATTTTGATGCAGCCGTTTTTTCATTTAAAACGGATAGTGCCCTTCTGGACGCCAGTTTTGATAACGATCATTATGGATATTGCAGGTTCAATGTCTTGGGTTTACATGAATTTGACAGTGATAGAAAAAGAATGTCGGTTATATTAGGCTACCCCGACAATTCAGTTAAACTTTTCGTCAAAGGAGCCGACACAACCATGTTTAGTATAATCGACAAATCATACAACATGGACTTGATAAAATCGACAGAAACTCATCTTCACTCGTATTCATCTCTCGGTTTACGAACACTTGTGATTGGAATGAGAGAACTCAACACTTCCGAGTTCGAACAATGGCATGCATCCTATGAAGCAGCGAGCACCGCAGTGTTTGGCAGGGCTGCAATGCTTAGAAAAATTTCAAACCATGTTGAAAACAATGTTTGCATATTAGGAGCTTCTGCTATCGAAGATAAACTACAACACGGCGTGCCTGAAGCAATCGAGTCTCTAAGGGCAGCAGGGATTAAAGTTTGGGTGTTAACTGGTGACAAGCAAGAAACTGCTGTATCGATCGGGTTCTCATCGAAACTCTTAACAAGAAGCATGACTCAAATTATTATTAGTAGTAATAATAAAGCTTCGTGTAGAAAAAGTCTCAAAGACGCTCTTGAAAGATCTAGAAAACTTGATGCAGTTTCAACGCAGATTGCTTTGATTATCGATGGTGGAAGCCTTGTTCACATTCTCGATACTGATCATGAAGAAGAGGTTAGTTTCATTCTAGAAAGCCTGCTGTTTACACTTTACAGTGAGTTTCTTGATGATGTTTTGTTTACTGATTTTGGCTGCTCGTGTTGATTCAGCTATTTCAACTTGCAAGTTTGTGTTCTGTTGTTCTTTGTTGTCGAGTTGCTCCACTGCAAAAAGCTGGTATTGTTTCCCTAGTGAAGAAGAGAACATCTGACATGACACTAGCTATCGGAGACGGTATGAATTCTTCTCTTGATTTCGTTTTAGTCTCTGTAAAATTTTTGATCATTTTGTCGCAGTTATTTTGTTTTAGTTCCTGTAATATACTTTTTTTCGTCTGAACTCGCAGGTGCTAATGATGTGTCAATGATTCAAATGGCTGATGTTGGAGTTGGTATCAGTGGACAAGAGGGTAGGCAAGCTGTAATGTCATCGGATTTTGCAATGGGACAGTTTAGGTTCTTAGTTCCTCTCTTGTTGGTTCATGGTCACTGGAATTACCAAAGGCTTGGTTACATGATACTATACAATTTCTACAGAAACGCTGTCCTGGTTCTTGTCCTATTTTGGTAAGTAAAGGTTTGATTGGCGTTAGTTTTATAGGCGTCTTCAGATGAAATGTGTGTCTGGTGTTTGACACTGACACTGACACACGTGATTACGTGTCAATATAATATGAAATGTGAGTCTGGTGTTTGACACTGACACAGATGATTGCATGTCAATATAATATGATAACAATCTATGTAGCACTGAAACTTCGTATGGAATGTGTGTCTGGTGTTTGACACTGACATTACACTGATACACGTGATTACTTTTCAATGTCGTGTTTGATGTTTGTGTTAGTATCGGTGTTTTACATACAATGATTGTTGTGTGCCTTTCTTTTTCAGGTATGTACTCTACACGGCTTTCACTTTAACAACCGCTATAAACGAATGGAGCTCCACATTGTATTCAATAGTCTACAGCGCACTACCGACTATTATCGTCGGAATTCTCGACAAAGATCTTGGTAGAAGCACTCTCCTAAGGTACCCTCAGCTTTATAGTGCTGGCCAAAGAAATGAAGCTTACAACAAGAAACTGTTTATGTTAACAATGGCTGATACATTGTGGCAAAGCATGGTTATATTTTGGCCTCCACTCTTTGCATATTGGAAAAGTACTATTGATGTAGCAAGTATAGGAGATCTTTGGACTTTGGCAGTGGTTATTATTGTCAATTTACATTTGGCAATGGATGTTGTGAGATGGTATTGGGTGACTCATGCTGTCATTTGGGGATCTATTGCTGCTACTTTCATTGCTGTCATGATCATTGATTCTATACCTAAACTTCCTGGTTTCTGGTATGTATTTCACTTTCTTTTTTCCTTTTCTTTTTCTCTTAGTTTTTTAGAATAGAAAAATTAGCTCTAAAGTAAACATATAAATAAATACCACAATAATCCATGTATTTTGACCTACTTCATTTTTATAAAACCCACTTTGAAAGTGATGAGTTTCACACTTTTTAGATTTTAGTTAGGCCTTATCTTTAAGATACATGGGCTTGGTTTTTTCGATATATACCTCTTACACCAATAATCCAAATCAACAAGATTCCTATATCATTAGACTTTTATATTGAACAAACTCATTTTTACAAAATCCACTTGTATGATAAAAAGTGTCACTAGGGATGGCAAAACGATCTCGGCCCATCGGAAATGTCCGTTTTGCCCGCATTTTTTCATGGAGTGGGATAAGGTTTTAGGTCCGCACCCTCTAATATGCTCGCCCCAGTTTTTACAGGTGCGGACATTAACATACGTTTTTGCAATTTTTAGACTTAAAAGATGCAGCGCTCGCAGGTCCGTCCCGCCTCACACTCATATTTTTGCGGTTGCGGGCATTAACATGAGTGTTTGCAATTTTTAGACTTAAAAAATACAGCGCCCGTAGGTTTGCAGAACCCGCAAGTTCACCCCGCCCCGCACTCATATTTTTGGAGAATGAGTCAAGGTTTTAGGCCTGCACAGTGTTTCTCTAAATTATAATCAAGTCATATCTTTAATCCATATGAGACAAAGGGAATGCGCTATTGGCCCGATCAGCAAATATAAGCCATACTCAATAAAATTGTCTTAAGTTTTCTGAGGCTCTGTGTAGATTAACCACGGTTGAAGTGAGACAAATCAAATATGGACCATATTTTGTCATGTTTTGGCTGTGAAAAGTATTTTATGAAACCTTTTTTAATCACGATTTAAATGTGTCAAATTTTGAACCATGTGCGATAGTCCGCCTTACACCTCCTCAAAGACAGTCATGCACCTGAAACTCGACATAATTTCTAAAACCTTTGTAATCATCATTGCTTTTTTATACAGTGACTAATATTTGCATCTCCACTGCTTTGATATTGCAGGGCCTTCTTTCATGTTGCAAACACTGGATTATTCTGGGCATTGTTACTAGGAATTATCATAGCAGCATTGCTTCCACGTTTGGTTGTAAAGTTTATTTATCAATATTACTTTCCAAGTGATATTCAAATTTCTAGAGAAGCTGAAAAAATGAGACAATATCAAAGAGTTGCTGAAAATCAACAAATAGAAATGCTTCCTGTCTCATATCATCAACAAACAAGATAAGAGAAGTGATTTCTGTTGTTGTTAATTTTGTAAAGTTGTATATTCTTTAGGGTGCTTCTGAGTATTTCTCTATGTTGGCGGTTTATTGTTAACTATCCAAAGGATAGAGTTTTTGTTGTTGTTATATGTTCATTCTTTTGTGTCTAGAGCTTGTTGTAAATTAGCATTGATTATAGTAGAAAAGAAAATAGTTGATTAAATTGCATAGTAATAAAACAAAATTTGCTTAAATTCAAGGGTTGATTTCATTGGTGATGTTGAATTTATCTTTTGAGCATGCAAAAGTCGTAAAATCATTTGCAAAACAAGTTGATAAATATTCTAATAATATATTTATATTTAAATTTAAATGAAATAGACACTTATCAACAATCAATCATTTCATAAATGCTACATAAACATTACTAAGAATGAAACAAAATGTAATTTAATATTCACCTTCTCCCTAGACCCATATGCAAGAACTTGATTGAAAAATTACGACAACAATGATACATATAGGAGGCCTCATAAAATGATAATCTAACTCTTTCTTAATTTTGAATTATATAAGAAGAAATCTTCTTAAAACGAGTGTTTAGTCTAACTCAGTGTTTTAAAAATTAAATCGAACGGGTCGATCGAATTGAAAATCGAAGGGATTATCGGTCTGGTTTGATTATTAGATCGATTATGTTATTGAATCGATAGGAATCGATAAAAAACTAGACAAAACCGGAAAAAAATTGATAAATTGATGATTTTGGAAAATCGACGAATTAAATGCATGTTTTTTTTTCTCGGACAAAATGACGTCGTTTTCATTATTTTTAAAAAAAATAAAATTAAAACTTATTTAAACCAACTTTCTCTTATTTGTAATTAAATCTGCTTCAAAATTTATTTAAATTCATATTTTATATTATTTTGTTATGAATGATGATTATATTTAGAATTTAAATTTAAAGAATAAACACGTGAAATTATGATATTATTAAAATTTTATAGATGTCATGATATTTTTTAGAGATCGAATCATCCGGTTAGACTGATTTAATAAATATATAATTTTATTATAGAGATCAGTTTATTCAACCAAATTATCTGATTAAATCATATGATTCGACCAATAACTCAGTAGTTCGACCAATAAAAAATTTAATGATTGTTCCCATTTTTAAAACTGGTCAAACTAGTCTCCACAAAATTAATTTATAAAAGGAAAATTACTTTCACTTATATAATATATTCATATCACAATAATTTAATGTGGGACTTTTAACATAAATGAATGATATAGTTTAATTGAGTTTCCTTAAATCTTAAAGAAATCAATATTTTCCTTAAAGTAAATTTAAAAGAGAATTGTAAGAGTGTGGAGAGTAAATTGAGGAGTGTAAATAGTACCTGGCTAACATATTAACTTGAAAAAGGCCCAATTATTTTGCATCGTAATATTAAGCTAAAGCGCGTGCATTGTACCCTCACTCCTCTCAGACCGAAACAAACAAATCGAAGTAAAACGACGACTCCTTCTGCGTTTCATCTCTCGCTTCGAACCTCTTCGTTCTTCAAACCTGTAAGTTTTCTGTAACATTGATTTCAGCAATGGAGCTTCACTTGAATCTTAGGGTTGAACTCTTTGTGTTGGTTGATTTTGAGTTTCACTAGATCGAACATGATTTTAGGTTTTCTAGGGTTTTATTGATTTGCGTGATTTTAAAGCTAATCTGTAGTTGAATTTGTGGTTGTTTGTTTCAGCTGATTTAGTGAAAATAAGTGATTAATTATGTTTTTAGATTGTTGGTGAAAAGTTGCAGTTGCTTTTTCGTGACTTTGTTTAGTTATTAAGTGGGAAGAGTTGATTTTTGTTGAAATTGATTTTAGTTAAAAGTGTCTTTAAGATAAAATGGTTTATGTTAGGATATGTTCTTGTGAAAGTGAGTTTGGTAAATAAATTTGAATGTAGAAATCACATTTAGGCAAAAAAAAACTACAAATCTTAGTTTCAAGCCAAAATCAACAATAATTTTAATAGAGAACCGGAAACCCCAACAACAACAACCAAGCCTTATCTTATCTCACTAAGTCGGGTCAGCTATATAGATCAACTTTCGCCATAATGTTCTGTTCAAGACCATGCTTCTATCCAAGATTAATTTTAAGTCTTCGGATATTCCAAATGGGCACCAAGTGGTTATAGGTTTGAATTGTGGAGTCAGCCTAGTGTAAGACAAGGCGTCTTTTATTAAACCCACAACATGTTTCAATCCTTACCTATCCCCTTGTTAGCAAGTGTGACGATGCCAAAATGTTGACAGATTTGGTTGCTATTTTATTGAACTATCAACAACGGTCCAGTCCCAATGTATGAATTATTAAGTGGAATAGCAACTTCATGGGTGTGAAAGACTAGCTTGATGACAATACCTCTTTCTCCGTGGGTTTTTAGTCTTAAAAAAAAGGCTTCATTCTCCGTTTGCTGTTCTGACTACCCATCATCATACCAAGATGAACTAGTGTTAGGACAGAGGTGGTAGACCTCGTCGTACATTGATATCTGCACATTGATATCGTCAGTTTGTTACATACGTTCTTTCTTCTTTTCAGAAGGCCTAGAGTAGGGAATCGAAGATACCAGGTAGACGGTAGACGATTAAGCAGAGGGAGAGAAGAATCCAGATTCAGAGAGAGGAGGTTTATCTCTCACACATTTCACAAACATTCAGTTATATATTCTCAAACTCATTGCTTGACGTGCATATCTCCTCACCGCCCTTACATCTAAGTGTCACATTGTTATAACAAACTCACTGACTTGGTTTTCTTAATTGATATTATGACAGAAAGCACTTGGATTTGCTTGCTCATTTGGGAACATTGATTGTGATACTTGGTTATTAAATTTCTAACTGGATTTTTGAAGGGCTAGGGTTGTATTTACTCGTTATCTACCTCTTTAACTGCATAGTAAAGTAGGTCTTGGATGCTCATGTTTAGATTTTTGTAGTGGGATACAATATCCACCATGGTAGCTACTCAATGCTCTGATACAAATTTGGGACTTTTAATGCACTGACACCTACAAAGTAAGGGTTTGTTAGCTTGTGTTTTGAAAAACAAAAATAAATTTAAATATTATTTTAAGACCAATGTATGATTTCTCCAAACTACAAAGGAAAACTTCAAATGAGTTTGTTTAGCGTTTTTCTCCTACGCTAAATATAACAGGCTGTAACGATAAAAACTCTAAAAGTAAGCTATATAACAAACTTCATGTCTTTATTTATTTTCCTAATAACTTTTGCTTAACATGTTTTAAGATTTTACTACTGTGGTCATACTAATTTAGTTCATCTTGGTCTCTGTAAAATGTAAATGAATATTATCATTCATTCGCCTTGCAAAAAGGATGAACTAGTCAGTATTCTAAGGATGTGAGAGTTAAAGGTCAAAGTTTCAGAATAATTAGAGAGCATACTCATGAGATAGTGTTTTGCGTCGATTAAAAGATATGGAATTAAATGTATGAATCCCTTAATATAGATCAATTCTGTAACAAACTCCTAATAGAACTGTAACTACTAACTACTAGCTTTGCCACCTATGTTTGGTTCCACCTTTGGAGCACTCAGAATTGAATCTAGATGTGTAAAATTTGTTTTAGCATATTTGGCAGCTCTTTAGTAAAATTGGTTTTACCTCCAGAATTGTTCTAAACAAGAGAATCCATAAAAGCTTGGTTTGAATAGTTGTGATTAGAATTGCAGTACTTTTTAGGTGACATAGTATGATTATTTGCTTGTTCATGACAGTTTCTATTCTGAATGTAGACAACCTTGAAAAAATGATTCTTGACAAATATGACATTGAGGAAACTCATTATGAGGTTCTCAGTATTAAGGAATATGCAGATTATGAAGAAATTCGTTCTAGTTACCGAAGTGCTGTACTCAGCTTACATCCCGATAAGCTATTGAAGACATTCAATACATCCGGCAGTAACCAAACAAGTACAGAGAGATTTCTCAGAGTTCAAAAGGCATGGGAAATTCTAAGCGACTCAAGCTCTCGCTTATTTTACGATAAGCAGCTGCAAAGTTCAAGGCGAGATGTATTGGCTGCTGAAGTTGCAGAAGATTTAAGCTTACATGATATGGAAGCTGAAGACGCCGATGAAGCATTAGAACTGTTTTATCAGTGCCGGTGTGGTGATTACTTCTCTGTCGACTTGTTGGAATTGCTAAAAATGGGGTATTCTTTGTTGAGAGATGGAAGCGATATATCTATACTCAATAGTGACACTTTACCAGGATCAGTGATACTTCCTTGTGGATCTTGTTCGTTAAAAGCTCGTCTGGTACTCAGTGTGGATAACCATTGAAATTGTTTGACATTTTTTGTATTTGCATGGATACCTTCTGAAATTATTAGCAATTTTTGAATCCCTGTGGAGGGTTGAGATTATTAACATTTTAAAAGAAGATAGCAAACTACACAATAAAGTTCCTCTTCATTTAATTTAATCAATAAATTGAATGATTCAAAAGAAAGTTGTTTATTTATTCTTAATTTCCAAAGAATGGTTGTTATATTTTCATTTGGACAACCAAAGAACCAATAGTTGATGCACACCATAAGCATGTACATACACATAAGAGAAAATATATGCACATTTTTTGGTTCTGTTGTGAAAAACATTGATTTTGAGTTAATTGGTTCCGGTTATAATTGAGATGAATGTATAACTCACATTTGTTCCAAAATAAAATGATCACAGAAATGAATCAATAATTTGTCATAAGATAATCGGTTAATTTGTCATTGAAATTAATTAATCATACAAACATAAGCATTACATTGGTTGGCAAAGCATGAAAATGTATAAGATTTGGTTGATTAACAACAAGGCAATAAATATATAATGGTGAAATCTAGAGTGTGGAGGACGGAAGTTGAATCGTCGTCCAACTCATTGCCAACAGACAGAATTTGAGATAATGCTCTCTCCAAACTGTCCAGAATCTAAAGTTATGATTGGAAGATTGTTTGTGAGATTGTTCCATCTTTTGGAGAGAATGCAAGTTTGAAAGGCCTCTTTAGTGTTCAGATATTTGAGGATGTGAAACACAATTGAATCTGTCTTTAATTTCATGAGTCAACATGTTAGGTTTGTTTCACTTCAACAAAAACCCCTAATTACAACTCAATATTATTTTTATTTTTATTTTGAAAATGGAAAATTAATTGATTTTTTATTTTTAAAACCCTTAATTATTTAGATTAAAAAATATCTAATTATTTGTACAAATAGCTCTATTTTGAGCCATTTTAGATAAGTTTTTATCATCCAACACAGAGTCATTATGCAAGTTGTAGTTACAAATTCTATAACTTTGTTACAATGTAATCACTCATATTGTGAAATAAAATGTGTTTTGTCTATACTTCGGTCAACTGATTCATACAAGCAACACTTGTCATCAAAAATTTAAACAAGGGATAATAGTTAACAAAAGAGAAATCAATAATGAATAAAATTTAAAAGATAATTAAATTGATCGATATTTGATTTGGCTCTCTTAACATTAAAATTCATAAATTCTCATAAACCATTAACTAAACTCTAATTCCAAATGCACAAATAAACTCGTATTTTTATTGGTAAACATAAAACCAATAATGTTGATCTCACCATAAATAGTTGATTGAGCATATCCTATTTTACGCACTCTGTAGCACCCTACATTGAGGTGTGAGATTAGACGAATAACTCATAGATGAGGGATCGTTTCAGGTACGATGTTTGCTGTTAATGAGGTTGATGTTTCAAATGCACATATGGTTGATGAGGTTGTCGTTTTATATGCGGTACATGTAGTTGATGAAGTTGCTATCATATATCCAGTTCCTATTGTTGGTGAGGATACTGGTACTGATGTGTTAGCCTGGATTTTCCAGTCAACAAAAAGTCAAGGTTAGACCACATGGAGGAAACACTAAGTATTATGAAGGACATTTATTTGCAACTTTCGACGAACATCAACGCAAGAACACTTCGAATGGTTTGGAAGAATCTCAATAATATATCCACAAGATTAGTTTCACATGATTTTAGATCTAGAATTTTCAAGTTTGGTTCACACGATTGGGACTCTTTTTCGCACATATGATGAGCTCACTCATTTTCCTAGAAATAGAGCAAGCTTCTGCTCTCAAAATCAAGCTTGAAGAGCCAAAAAAACTTTGTCATACTTGAACCTGAAAACCTTCAAAAATCTGAAGTTTGTTTTCTCCCTTTTCTCTCAATTTCAACCTTATTTCTTCACCCATATGTCTTTATCGTAACCTTCTGAAGCTGTGTAAACCATTACCAATCTCAAGAAAATTCTAAAACCTTATTTAATTACCACTAGTCATTACTCTGATAACCATACTTAATCGCCACCGTCATGCCCGAATACTATTTTAATCACTATTCTACTTTGATCACCGTAAACCAACTACCACTCCCACCACTATCGATCACCATGCGATGATCACCAATCTAATTAGCACTGGTCATTACTCTCATCACCATACTTGGCTGCCTCCATCATGACCGACTATTATTTTAACCTTTATTCTACTCTGATCACCATAAACCATTCTACTATGATCACCATTAACCACCATCAGTCACCACTGTTGAATATTACTTTGACATCTTCAAGGGTAACCTACTTAGAATTTTATGAATGAGATTGAAACAGAGTGGGAAGTGGCGGTTTTTTCTAATTTTTTTAATGGAAGGGTTTGGATTAATTGCTGTCTCCTAGAGGAGAATGTTTCTCTGAAATGGCTTATATAATTTGCTATAGAGTTGGTTTATATAAACTTGTAAATAAACGCTTTACATAAATATAAACTGGAAGTTTTTTTTATCCAAACAGACCTCTAGTAAAGGTGCAACAAAATAAGGTTGCATAAATTTGCAAGTAAATTCCACTGTTGAAGCTATATCTATTATAAACATTTCAACTAACAGATATAAACCCCTTTTTGATAAAAGAACACTTTGCAAGTGTGTACATACTGAATTATTCAACCATTTTTATATGAAACTACCAAGTTTAGCATTTTGTTTCAAAAAAAAAACCTGTTAAAACAAAATATGCTTCTACATCACAATATAATCTAGATAATATCATTATATGTTTTAGTGTATACAAAAATCTACACCGTTGAAGATAAGTTTACTTCAGCTGAAAGCAATTAAAATGAAGATCATATCAAGTTTTAGACTAATTCCTCTACAAAAACAACCATCATACAGCCACAATCAAAAAACTGTAAGAGTGGGCAGAAATTTTCATGCCATTCATTTAAGGAAACCGAATAAGACTAGAAATATCATTCACTACCACCTGCAGGGCCCACAAGTACTCCTTGAGCAGAACCTTCCTTCTTACCAGATTCATCGTTCACCTCAGCGTCGGCTTTCCTCATCCTGATTTTATATTTAGTCTCAAACTCAGCTATTTCCTTTTTCTTCTTTTCCAGTGTCTCGTTAAGCCTTGCAACAACCTCTTCAAGTCCTTCTTTATTTCGCTGCACAGCAGGCAAGACCTCTTTGATGGTTCTTTCCACAAGCACCCCCCCGATCATTCGATAGCATCGTCTAGATTGATCAAGCGGCTGAATGGCATTAAGAACCAACGAGTGCTCGCTAACTTCCATTTCCAGTTCAGTTATTTTGGTGTAGATTTGGTTGAGGTCTGACCTCATAGCTGCATACATATTTGCAACTGCCTGTTCATTTACTGGCTCCTTGCGATCTTCGGATTTACTAGCCATTGTTCTACACGAATGAAAATAAAATAGTGTAAGAATAAGCATAAACACATAATCTATGATATTTGTTAAAGATCTTCAGTATTTATTTCATTTAATTCGACATAAACTACACCTTACAGTACTGTTCATTCTGCAGAGAGATACACAGAGTAAGATGCAATAACATCGACATTCATAATTGGACAAACAACATGAAAGAAAGTCCAAAAAGATTGTGAAGCTTCACACATTTGATACACACCTTATAAAATTCTATATAAGAATCTCAGTTACATTAGAATGAGAATTGTCTAAAGTTTATAGATTTAGTACCCACTGAAGACAGAACTTCGAGAGGTAAATGTATCATTAACCAACACAAACAAATTAAAGCAGGAAAGAAGAAACAGAATTTTAAAAGCTAGCACACAGGCAATGATATGATGAACTTAAGAACTTTCACCTCAATATCATCATGAACAATTAATGTTAGATTAGGATCGCAGAAATTAGCAATATGTGCACATTCTGCTACACCGTAGTGTTATATCTGCTATTTAACAACACTTTGTACTAAATTCGTAAAACAATAGTGATTTGCTTGAATTCCACTACACTATAGTAGGGCACTATAATCACTATTCAACAACATGTGAATTTGTAATTTCAAGAACTACTATCCTGATTTTGGAACATAGACACTAATTAGATTTTACCAAGTTAAAATGGTACTTGTAACTTCAAAGATCAGAAAAATGCAACACTCGTTCTCTAAGACCTATTCAAGGACCAAACACCAAGTATTAATGTAAAACATAATAGTTAATAGAGGAACGTGGTGCATATGGCCAGCCACCTAGAAAGCATGTATACAACATGGGGCATGGATGTAATATGACATGGACAAATGGATAAGTTAACTATGAATCAGGTATAAACAACACATGAAATCAGTAAGCAACACAATTCAAATAAGTAGAGACCACAGACCAGTATTTTTAAAATTTAACATCAGGCATTATAGCAATAATAAAATGTCATTGTTGATCTAATACTACAGTATTCCCATCTGAATTAGAATGAAGATTCAAAAAACTTGAAGAAAAAATCATGAAATACAACTAATGTCCGTGAACTTTCAAACACCGCATGGATACAGCACGATGCGCCTACTGTTTCAAATTTTAGTAGGAGTTTGAGTGAAGAAATTGATTCTGAGGTGACAAAAAGTGATTTCGACTGAATTAATTTTGATTAAAAGTGAGTTACATGTAAAGTTATTTATGTTTGAATATTTACATGAAGGTAAGTTGAACAAAAAATTTCATTATAAGAATAATGTTTGGACTCAAAAATTACAAATCATATTTTCAAATTAAAATCAATTCTGGAGGTAAAACCAATTTTACTAAAGAGCTGCCAAACATGCTAAAACAAATTTTACACATCTAGATTCAATTCTGAGTGCTCCAAAGGTGGAACCAAACATAGGTGGCAAAGCTAGTAGTTAGTAGTTACAGTTCTATTAGGAGTTTGTTACAGAATTGATCTATATTAAGGGATTCATACATTTAATTCCATATCTTTTAATCGACGCAAAACACTATCTCATGAGTATGCTCTCTAATTATTCTGAAACTTTGACCTTTAACTCTCACATCCTTAGAATACTGACTAGTTCATCCTTTTTGCAAGGCGAATGAATGATAATATTCATTTACATTTTACAGAGACCAAGATGAACTAAATTAGTATGACCACAGTAGTAAAATCTTAAAACATGTTAAGCAAAAGTTATTAGGAAAATAAATAAAGACATGAAGTTTGTTATATAGCTTACTTTTAGAGTTTTTATCGTTACAGCCTGTTATATTTAGCGTAGGAGAAAAACGCTAAACAAACTCATTTGAAGTTTTCCTTTGTAGTTTGGAGAAATCATACATTGGTCTTAAAATAATATTTAAATTTATTTTTGTTTTTCAAAACACAAGCTAACAAACCCTTACTTTGTAGGTGTCAGTGCATTAAAAGTCCCAAATTTGTATCAGAGCATTGAGTAGCTACCATGGTGGATATTGTATCCCACTACAAAAATCTAAACATGAGCATCCAAGACCTACTTTACTATGCAGTTAAAGAGGTAGATAACGAGTAAATACAACCCTAGCCCTTCAAAAATCCAGTTAGAAATTTAATAACCAAGTATCACAATCAATGTTCCCAAATGAGCAAGCAAATCCAAGTGCTTTCTGTCATAATATCAATTAAGAAAACCAAGTCAGTGAGTTTGTTATAACAATGTGACACTTAGATGTAAGGGCGGTGAGGAGATATGCACGTCAAGCAATGAGTTTGAGAATATATAACTGAATGTTTGTGAAATGTGTGAGAGATAAACCTCCTCTCTCTGAATCTGGATTCTTCTCTCCCTCTGCTTAATCGTCTACCGTCTACCTGGTATCTTCGATTCCCTACTCTAGGCCTTCTGAAAAGAAGAAAGAACGTATGTAACAAACTGACGATATCAATGTGCAGATATCAATGTACGACGAGGTCTACCACCTCTGTCCTAACACTAGTTCATCTTGGTATGATGATGGGTAGTCAGAACAGCAAACGGAGAATGAAGCCTTTTTTTTAAGACTAAAAACCCACGGAGAAAGAGGTATTGTCATCAAGCTAGTCTTTCACACCCATGAAGTTGCTATTCCACTTAATAATTCATACATTGGGACTGGACCGTTGTTGATAGTTCAATAAAATAGCAACCAAATCTGTCAACATTTTGGCATCGTCACACTTGCTAACAAGGGGATAGGTAAGGATTGAAACATGTTGTGGGTTTAATAAAAGACGCCTTGTCTTACACTAGGCTGACTCCACAATTCAAACCTATAACCACTTGGTGCCCATTTGGAATATCCGAAGACTTAAAATTAATCTTGGATAGAAGCATGGTCTTGAACAGAACATTATGGCGAAAGTTGATCTATATAGCTGACCCGACTTAGTGAGATAAGATAAGGCTTGGTTGTTGTTGTTGGGGTTTCCGGTTCTCTATTAAAATTATTGTTGATTTTGGCTTGAAACTAAGATTTGTAGTTTTTTTTTGCCTAAATGTGATTTCTACATTCAAATTTATTTACCAAACTCACTTTCACAAGAACATATCCTAACATAAACCATTTTATCTTAAAGACACTTTTAACTAAAATCAATTTCAACAAAAATCAACTCTTCCCACTTAATAACTAAACAAAGTCACGAAAAAGCAACTGCAACTTTTCACCAACAATCTAAAAACATAATTAATCACTTATCTTCACTAAATCAGCTGAAACAAACAACCACAAATTCAACTACAGATTAGCTTTAAAATCACCCAAATCAATAAAACCCTAGAAAACCTAAAATCATGTTCAATCTAGTGAAACTCAAAATCAACCAACACAAAGAGTTCAACCCTAAGATTCAAGTGAAGCTCCATTGCTGAAATCAATGTTACAGAAAACTTACAGGTTTGAAGAACGAAGAGGTTCGAAGCGAGAGATGAAACGCAGAAGGAGTCGTCGTTTTACTTCGATTTGTTTGTTTCGGTCTGAGAGGAGTGAGGGTACAATGCACGCGCTTTAGCTTAATATTACGATGCAAAATAATTGGGCCTTTTTCAAGTTAATATGTTAGCCAGGTACTATTTACACTCATCAATTTACTCTCCACACTCTTACAATTCTCTTTTAAATTTACTTTAAGGAAAATATTGATTTCTTTAAGATTTAAGGAAACTATATCATTCATTTATGTTAAAAGTCCCACATTAAATTATTGTGATATGAATATATTATATAAGTGAAAGTAATTTTCCTTTTATAAATTAATTTTGTGGAGACTAGTTTGACCAGTTTTAAAAATGGGAACAATCATTAAATTTTTTATTGGTCGAACTACTGAGTTATTGGTCGAATCATATGATTTAATCAGATAATTTGGTTGAATAAACTGATCTCTATAATAAAATTATATATTTATTAAATCAGTCTAACCGGATGATTCGATCTCTAAAAAATATCATGACATCTATAAAATTTTAATAATATCATAATTTCACGTGTTTATTCTTTAAATTTAAATTCTAAATATAATCATCATTCATAACAAAATAATATAAAATATGAATTTAAATAAATTTTGAAGCAGATTTAATTACAAATAAGAGAAAGTTGGTTTAAATAAGTTTTAATTTTATTTTTTAAAAAAATAATGAAAACGACGTCATTTTGTCCGAGAAAAAAAAACATGCATTTAATTCGTCGATTTTCCAAAATCATCAATTTATCAATTTTTTTCCGGTTTTGTCTAGTTTTTTATCGATTCCTATCGATTCAATAACATAATCGATCTAATAATCAAACCAGACCGATAATCCCTTCGATTTTCAATTCGATCGACCCGTTCGATTTAATTTTTAAAACACTGAGTTAGACTAAACACTCGTTTTAAGAAGATTTCTTCTTATATAATTCAAAATTAAGAAAGAGTTAGATTATCATTTTATGAGGCCTCCGATATGTATCATTGTTGTCGTAATTTTTCAATCAAGTTCTTGCATATGGGTCTAGGGAGAAGGTGAATATTAAATTACATTTTGTTTCATTCTTAGTAATGTTTATGTAGCATTTATGAAATGATTGATTGTTGATAAGTGTCTATTTCATTTAAATTTAAATTTAAATATATTATTAGAATATTTATCAACTTGTTTTGCAAATGATTTTACGACTTTTGCATGCTCAAAAGATAAATTCAACATCACCAATGAAATCAACCCTTGAATTTAAGCAAATTTTGTTTTATTACTATGCAATTTAATCAACTATTTTCTTTTCTACTATAATCAATGCTAATTTACAACAAGCTCTAGACACAAAAGAATGAACATATAACAACAACAAAAACTCTATCCTTTGGATAGTTAACAATAAACCGCCAACATAGAGAAATACTCAGAAGCACCCTAAAGAATATACAACTTTACAAAATTAACAACAACAGAAATCACTTCTCTTATCTTGTTTGTTGATGATATGAGACAGGAAGCATTTCTATTTGTTGATTTTCAGCAACTCTTTGATATTGTCTCATTTTTTCAGCTTCTCTAGAAATTTGAATATCACTTGGAAAGTAATATTGATAAATAAACTTTACAACCAAACGTGGAAGCAATGCTGCTATGATAATTCCTAGTAACAATGCCCAGAATAATCCAGTGTTTGCAACATGAAAGAAGGCCCTGCAATATCAAAGCAGTGGAGATGCAAATATTAGTCACTGTATAAAAAAGCAATGATGATTACAAGGGTTTTAGAAATTATGTCGAGTTTCAGGTGCATGACTGTCTTTGAGGAGGTGTAAGGCGGACTATCGCACATGGTTCAAAATTTGACACATTTAAATCGTGATTAAAAAAGGTTTCATAAAATACTTTTCACAGCCAAAACATGACAAAATATGGTCCATATTTGATTTGTCTCACTTCAACCGTGGTTAATCTACACAGAGCCTCAGAAAACTTAAGACAATTTTATTGAGTATGGCTTATATTTGCTGATCGGGCCAATAGCGCATTCCCTTTGTCTCATATGGATTAAAGATATGACTTGATTATAATTTAGAGAAACACTGTGCAGGCCTAAAACCTTGACTCATTCTCCAAAAATATGAGTGCGGGGCGGGGTGAACTTGCGGGTTCTGCAAACCTACGGGCGCTGTATTTTTTAAGTCTAAAAATTGCAAACACTCATGTTAATGCCCGCAACCGCAAAAATATGAGTGTGAGGCGGGACGGACCTGCGAGCGCTGCATCTTTTAAGTCTAAAAATTGCAAAAACGTATGTTAATGTCCGCACCTGCAAAAACTGGGGCGAGCATATTAGAGGGTGCGGACCTAAAACCTTATCCCACTCCATGAAAAAATGCGGGCAAAACGGACATTTCCGATGGGCCGAGATCGTTTTGCCATCCCTAGTGACACTTTTTATCATACAAGTGGATTTTGTAAAAATGAGTTTGTCCAATATAAAAGTCTAATGATATAGGAATCTTGTTGATTTGGATTATTGGTGTAAGAGGTATATATCGAAAAAACCAAGCCCATGTATCTTAAAGATAAGGCCTAACTAAAATCTAAAAAGTGTGAAACTCATCACTTTCAAAGTGGGTTTTATAAAAATGAAGTAGGTCAAAATACATGGATTATTGTGGTATTTATTTATATGTTTACTTTAGAGCTAATTTTTCTATTCTAAAAAACTAAGAGAAAAAGAAAAGGAAAAAAGAAAGTGAAATACATACCAGAAACCAGGAAGTTTAGGTATAGAATCAATGATCATGACAGCAATGAAAGTAGCAGCAATAGATCCCCAAATGACAGCATGAGTCACCCAATACCATCTCACAACATCCATTGCCAAATGTAAATTGACAATAATAACCACTGCCAAAGTCCAAAGATCTCCTATACTTGCTACATCAATAGTACTTTTCCAATATGCAAAGAGTGGAGGCCAAAATATAACCATGCTTTGCCACAATGTATCAGCCATTGTTAACATAAACAGTTTCTTGTTGTAAGCTTCATTTCTTTGGCCAGCACTATAAAGCTGAGGGTACCTTAGGAGAGTGCTTCTACCAAGATCTTTGTCGAGAATTCCGACGATGATAGTCGGTAGTGCGCTGTAGACTATTGAATACAATGTGGAGCTCCATTCGTTTATAGCGGTTGTTAAAGTGAAAGCCGTGTAGAGTACATACCTGAAAAAGAAAGGCACACAACAATCATTGTATGTAAAACACCGATACTAACACAAACATCAAACACGACATTGAAAAGTAATCACGTGTATCAGTGTAATGTCAGTGTCAAACACCAGACACACATTCCATACGAAGTTTCAGTGCTACATAGATTGTTATCATATTATATTGACATGTAATCATCTGTGTCAGTGTCAAACACCAGACTCACATTTCATATTATATTGACACGTAATCACGTGTGTCAGTGTCAAACACTAGACACACATTTCATCTGAAGACACCTATAAAACTAAGGCCAATCAAACCTTTACTTACCAAAATAGGACAAGAACCAGGACAGCATTTCTGTAGAAATTGTATAGTATCATGTAACCAAGCCTTTGGTAATTCCAGTGACCATGAACCAACAAGAGAGGAACTAAGAACCTAAACTGTCCCATTGCAAAATCCGATGACATTACAGCTTGCCTACCCTCTTGTCCACTGATACCAACTCCAACATCAGCCATTTGAATCATTGACACATCATTAGCACCTGCGAGTTCAGACGAAAAAAAGTATATTACAGGAACTAAAACAAAATAACTGCGACAAAATGATCAAAAAATTTACAGAGACTAAAATGAAATCAAGAGAAGAATTCATACCGTCTCCGATAGCTAGTGTCATGTCAGATGTTCTCTTCTTCACTAGGGAAACAATACCAGCTTTTTGCAGTGGAGCAACTCGACAACAAAGAACAACAGAACACAAACTTGCAAGTTGAAATAGCTGAATCAACACGAGCAGCCAAAATCAGTAAACAAAACATCATCAAGAAACTCACTGTAAAGTGTAAACAGCAGGCTTTCTAGAATGAAACTAACCTCTTCTTCATGATCAGTGTCGAGAATGTGAACAAGGCTTCCACCATCGATAATCAAAGCGATCTGCGTTGAAACTGCATCAAGTTTTCTAGATCTTTCAAGAGCGTCTTTGAGACTTTTTCTACACGAAGCTTTATTATTACTACTAATAATAATTTGAGTCATGCTTCTTGTTAAGAGTTTCGATGAGAACCCGATCGATACAGCAGTTTCTTGCTTGTCACCAGTTAACACCCAGACTTTAATCCCTGCTGCCCTTAGAGACTCGATTGCTTCAGGCACGCCGTGTTGTAGTTTATCTTCGATAGCAGAAGCTCCTAATATGCAAACATTGTTTTCAACATGGTTTGAAATTTTTCTAAGCATTGCAGCCCTGCCAAACACTGCGGTGCTCGCTGCTTCATAGGATGCATGCCATTGTTCGAACTCGGAAGTGTTGAGTTCTCTCATTCCAATCACAAGTGTTCGTAAACCGAGAGATGAATACGAGTGAAGATGAGTTTCTGTCGATTTTATCAAGTCCATGTTGTATGATTTGTCGATTATACTAAACATGGTTGTGTCGGCTCCTTTGATGAAAAGCTTAACTGAATTGTCGGGGTAGCCTAATATAACCGACATTCTTTTTCTATCACTGTCAAATTCATGTAAACCCAAGACATTGAACCTGCAATATCCATAATGATCGTTATCAAAACTGGCGTCCAGAAGGGCACTATCCGTTTTAAATGAAAAAACGGCTGCATCAAAATTTGGAGTAAAGTTTGTCAATAAGCAACTTACTTTAGTCTTTCTCCATGAATATCAATGACGATATGGCCGGAGGTTCGTTCGATGAGCATAAAACCATAGGCGGCCGCGGCATACGCCAATGCTTGTTCATCGGGCGATTCACCTTGGTAATCTAACAGCTTGACATCAGGATCAGGTGTGTCAACAACAAGAGGCACAATAGTATTGCAGGTTGCAAGTGCTAGAAAGAACTCGTAAATCCTTTTTCCTTCCACATTTCGAAATCCATTTCTCGCCAATTTCAAAAGCTCCGGATTAACTTTCACCTTCATCTTCGGTTTCAACACCTTTCCATCAACTGAAAACAGAGAATAAACACGATATTTCAACAATTGTGTTTCTCGAATAACTATAAATGGTTAATCACGTTCAGTAGATGGTTAACGGATATATCAGTAACTCGGTAAGCACAATTTGAACGTGATTAACCACCATTTCTCAGATTCCTATATGAATTAAAGAAAATGTTAATAAAAAAAATGAAGAAATCAATCTTACCTTGCACCGAGTATTCGGTTTGTTCATCCTCCATGCTGGCTTTTGAGGAACTGTAATCAACTCCCCAAATGCTAGCACATTGAAACTCCATCTTATTTTCGGTAAGTGTACCGGTTTTATCTGAGAAAACATACTTAATCTGTCCCAAATCTTCATTAATATTTAAAGCCCTGCACTGAAACCTCGAATTCGTAGCTTTATCAAACAATCGATCATCTTCGATCATGAAATAGGCCTGACCAACGCGAACAAGCTCCATAGAAATATACAAAGCAATGGGAATCATGACTTGGTAAACTATAACTGACATAAGGAATGTGAAAAAGATTTCCAATCCCCATCCATAGTACTTATAGTCTTTAACTTTCGCCTTGGAAAAATCAAGTTTCCTATAATAAGGCAACAGATTCAGCTCGTCTTTATGGCGTTTCAACCAAACCGCTGCACAAACCGACGTAATCGTACACAATGCAACAAGAAAGAAAGACAGCATAATAATTTCGTAATTCATACGCGTCTCTAGACGACTCCTCTTCGACGGAGCTCCAGAACTGTTGAGCATAGCCTTGGTGTCGCGGCCGCAGTAGACCGCGACACCAAGCGCCCAACTAGTATTCTTGAGCTCACATCCTCTAAGCACAATGTTGGTTGATCCAAGTGATAACTTCTTACCATCAATCTCCATGTTCGCCATAAACCCGTATATGTTCCTATTTGGTTTCTCGCACTTAATCAAACCGGTAAACCTCGGTTGAATCTTTAAACCTGTCTCCATTTTCGCGTACCGAGTCTTCAAATTACTCTCGCCGTCGAGATTAATAGTTTGCACATATGCTACACCAGTTGAATCACTAGTTGACAACAAAACAATGTCACAAGGAATTGTTTCATTTGTTTTGATTTTCACAATCTCACCAACCCTAATATCCTTCCATTTCTTGTCTGCAAAGCTACCATCATGAACCAAAACTGATGCTAACCTGTTGTTCTCAACTTTATCTGAATTATGTCTCCTCCAATCCTCAAAAGCATCTTTCACACCAGTCACAAACAGAACGAAAGCCAACGGCAGAATCGAAACGTATCGCCCGAAAACCGCGAGTTGAGGAAGCTGATTAAGTATAGCAATGATGAGAAAATATACGTAAGCAACTCTATGAAACTGCTCAAACAAGTTCCTTGGAATGAAAGTGAGAATTGAGTATTTAGCAGTTCGGATCGAATTTCCAAAAAACTCGAAATTCTCATTCGTTTTATCAGGATCATTGATGTATACCAATCTCGCATCTTCATCTCTTAACTCTCTCTGTGACATGCTTAATCCATCAGAATCACCTCCACCACCACCTTTTGAACCATACCTCACAGATTTTCTTGACCCCGAGTTTGTTACACTATTGTTCCGCTTGTTAGAACTCATTGAATGAATTGACATAATACTTTTACTTGATGATGACGTTGTTGATGAGTTTGAAGAGTTCTTATTATCAACTTGTATACCATATTCCACACCGGAGAATGTAACTGTGTTGCTTGAACTTGATTTTGATTTTGGTAATTCAGGAAAAACTGGAAGTGTTGGAAATTCTTGATCATTTGGTGTTCTTGGTGATTGTAACAAAAGTGGCCTATTAGAATCCATCTGTTTTGCTGCTATTACGAGATATTGTCTGTTTTGAGTATGTTTTTCTTTCTTCAAAATTTGAACATGATCTTAAGGCTTTACGCGCTTGAACTAGAACAATTATATGTAGAAAAATATTTGAAATTTGAAAAAAACAAAACTAAGCAAGAAATATAAAGTTGTTATTACGATAGTCAGCTCCACTGCTGCTACGAGTTTTGTGTTTGTGGGAATGTTTGTTGGAATGATGATTATGGAGAGGTTTAAGGTGTGATAATGAGACGAAGAAGATTTAATGAGAAAGAAGAAAAAGCGTGTTGAAGAGGAAGAAGTTTTGAAGGTCAAAGGTGGTAAGTCTATGACGGGTAATGCAAGGAAATGAAGAACAAGTCGTAATGGGTGGCGACAATGTGTTTCTCTAGAAACAATATTGTTGTATAAAAAATTGAGAAAGGACATTATGTTAAATTAGTATTTTAATGTCTTTGATTAATGTTTGAATCTTGTGTTAGGTATTATTCAAAGAAGCTGCCATATGCATACTCATACAAACTCTTCATAGACAAAGTATTTCAACAATATAATATTTTCTTTCAACATTTTTAATTATTTAAGGGTATTTAATATAGTTAATCTTTTACAAATTTGCTAAATCAAATTATTTGTTAAAGAATCAAATTGTTAAGTTATGTTTAAATTTTTTTAAATTCAATTTGGTGATTCGATTCAGTTTTTGAACAATCCTAATAATGTTATGTCTAAATCGCGAATGTAATTTTCAAAAGATTAATTTTTTCATAAAAATTAAATAATGATCCTATTTGTTTTTCATTTATTTTTTATTTTATCAAAGTTTTTATTATATATTAATAAATAAATTTTATAAAATTAATTATGGTAAAAAATGAACTAAAGTTAAAATGATTTATATTTAAAGGGTAAATTTTCAATAATAGATTGATAGTCCATTTTTTATTATAATAAAAAATGAATTAAAAATAAAATAATTTGTACTCCTATTTAGTAAGACATGATCAATTGATTTCTTTATTAATAATAAGAACTTAATTTGTATACTATTATATAAATGTTTTATATACCAATTAATTATAACTAGTCACTTTTAAAAAATCTTTAATAATTAATATACTATTAAAGGCATGCTTATTAACATGTGTGATGTAGTAACACTAAAACTTTTTATAACATTTAAACAATATTTTAAAGTAACATAGTTCTTTACAACTGCATGCCCCAGATTAGTTATTTTCTTTGCAAATATAGGATAAAGATGTGTTAGAAAAGTAAAATCATTCTATTAAATAGAACTATGGTCATCATTTATTAATTTATTTATGGAATGGAACAAAAAGTCTTTGCCTCTAGATGAGCATTCGTATATTGTTCAATCTTGAATAATTTCTCATACTGTTTGTCCTAGATAGTCTGCTGACAGGTTTTATTATTCAATTCTTAGGTGTCTGAATTTGACCTTATTATTTTAATTTAAGTGGACTAGTGCGTGCACACGAGTTATAATACGTACGGTAAATAATTAACTTTTTATGACTCAATGTGTAATTTAAAAATAACTAAAGAACAAATTAATTATTACTGTGATAATGTACTTTACCTTGGAGTATTCATTACCTTTACTGACGCGTGACAGAAAGAAAAAAAAACTCCAGAAGTTTTTTTTTTGACTGGGTGTGTAGTAAATTTTTTAGAAATTTATAATATTCAAAAATTCACATTACCGGAAATACGAATATTTGAATTCTGCCGATGGTTTTTATCTTAATAATATCGAATTTTGATTTGTAGATTTAACTTATTTTATATTATGGTGTGTTTATTTTAAATTATAAAATTATTTTTTTATAATTATTGCCAAAATTATTATTTTTCAAAATAATGTTTATGTTGTGAAAAACAACGTCGAAATAATAAAGTATAACTGATTTCTTGATCGGTAAGAAATTTATAAAAGTAGAAAAGAAGAAATTAAAAAGTATACAATAAAATTAATTCTACATTGTTATTCTTTAGTTTTTCTTTAAAATAAAATTATAAGTGTTACAAAAATCGAGAATGAATTTATTTAGACAGAGTGTTTTGATTGGTCAGCACAATTTAATTTGTCATTTATGTTTGGAGAAGAGGAAGAGATTGATCATCTTTTTGTTGGTTGTTTGGTGTCGTCTTCTTGGTGGAAAAACGATTGTGATTGACTTCAGGTATCTTTTCACTCAACTTTTGATTCTATTTTTTTATCGATTGATTTCCTTGAAATCTTATTGTAGACTTAAATTTCATCTGAATTCGAGTTGGGTTTTTGGTTTAGCCTTTTGTTGGATTGTTTGGGTTTCTAGGAATGTTATTCTTTTTTTATGAAGATAGAAAGTTATTGTGATCGGATTTGTGTGTCTCTCTGACTACTTATTTAGGTAGTTAGATATTCCTCGAGTCTTTGTGTTTCTCACAATATTTGTTTAGGTAGTTAGACCTTCATCGAGTCCTTGTGTTGTTGGCTATGTGGTTGGTTTCTTTATTTTTGTTGGGTTGTGCACCCGTTATATCGTTTTGTTAATGTTTCATTTGTCTATAAAAAAAAAATTCTCTCATCCTAATTAAGATTTGTATTGTGCAATGATGAGATATTAGTATGTTGATTATAAGAAAACTAACATACTAAACTAATGGAATTTTACACACATACTCATTACGTAAGCTAACTTAGAGAACAAATTAACTTAAATAATTAGGTTTAACAAACAGACTCAATTCGACAATGCTAACAATCATAGCATTTCGACTACTGCATACTTGAGCATATTTTGACTACAATATTGCAGGACTTCGACTACAGCATGTGAACAGACTTTGACGACATGCTAAAATCATGTCGAATTTGTTGGAAATCCACCAAAATCTATGATGAATTTCTACCACAATGACAATTTAATTATGAGACAAACAAAGAAAAGAAGACAAGACAAATAATTTCTGCAGAGTTTCTCTCTACTCACAAACTGTGAAAACTTTGTTATTCACTTGCAACTGCAAATTTTGTGAATACAACTTGCTTGACTTGCTTACAAAAATAGGGGTTACTCCCTCTATTTATAACTGAGCTTACACCCTAAGCCCAAAGCCCAAAATATCTTTTTGTTACTAAATCAAATCTAATTTATTCTAAACTTAAATCAAATCTATTTAAATCTAAAACAAATCAAATCTTTTTGACACATAGTTTCGACACATTGGATTATAATTTAACACACCACCTAATTCATCATGGCTCTTAGATTTCTGAATACTTCGACTTGCACTCCCTTTGTAATGATGTATGTAATCTGATTCTCAGTTCTGCAGTGTTCCAAATTCATCTTCCCATCTGCTACCTGCTCTCGAAGATAATGGAATCTCATTTTGATGTGTTTACTTCGACCATGTGCTATTGGGTTCTTCGCCAGATTAATAGCTGACATGCTGTCTATCTTCATGGTAATTGCTCCATGATTTTTCCCTGTTATCTCTTCGACCAAGTTCACCATCTAAGTTGCTTGACATGCACAAAGAGAAGCAATTATGTATTCTGCTTCGCATGATGATAATGCCACTACTGGTTCCTTTCTTGAATTCCAAGCAACTGGTGCACCACCTAGCATAAACACATATCCTGTTGTTGACTTTCGATCTTCAGCATCACTATACCAACTCGAATCAGTGTATCCCACTAACTTGCATTCTTTTCCTTTATCAATTGCAGGAAACAAAATGCCATAATCGAAAGTTCCTTTGAGATACCTTAGTATCCTCTTCACTGCTGCTAGATGTGATACCTTTGGCTTCTGCATGAATCTACTTACCATACCTACATTATATGCTAAGTCAGGCCTTGTATGACAAAGGTATCTCAATGATTCAATAAGTCTTCTGTATTAGGTTGGATCAACATCATCTTTATTTGCATCTTTCGACAGTTGCAGTCTTGGTTCTGCAGGTGTCGAAGTTGGGTTGCATTCTTCCATCTCAAACCTCTTGAGAATTTCTCCTGCATATCTTCTTTGATGCATCATCAAACCTCTACTGCTCTTGTAGAATTCGATACCAAGGAAATATGAAATCTCACCCAAATCAGACATTTTGAATTCTTTACTGAGATCACCTTTAAAGTCTTCGATCTCACTTTTACAGCTACATGTTATCAACAAATCATCTACATAGAGACATAGTACAAGCAATTTACTCTTGCTTCTTCTTACATATACTCCATGTTCAGTTGTGCACTTCACAAATTCCTTCTCCCTTAGAAAACTATCAATTTTCTTATTCCAAGCCCTTGGAGCTTGTTTCAATACATACAGGGCTTTATGTAGCCTGTACGCCTTTCTTTCTTCGTCATGTTTCACAAACCTAATTGGTTATTTAACATAGACTTCTTTATCTAAGGGTCCATTTAGGAATGCACACTTCACGTCCATCTGACATATGTGCCAACTGTTTATTTCTGCTAGACCAACAATCAATCTGATTGTTTCGATCTTAGCAACAGGTGCAAAAACTTCATCGAAGTCTATTCCTTCTTTCTGTAGAAATCCTTTCGCCACAAGTCTTGCTTTGTGTAGAGTTACTTCACCTTTAGAATTCGTTTTCACTTTGTATACCCACTTGACATCAATTGCCTTCTTGCCTTGAGGCGATTCGACAAGTGACCAAGTGTTGTTGTCTTCAATAGACTTTACTTCTTCGTTCATTGCTTTCATCCACTTCGAATCCTTCAATGCTTCAGCTGCATTAACGGGTTCGACATCTGCATAGAAAGCATAATGTACCAGCTTACCTTCATCGTCTATCACATCATCTGATGTAATCACACAATCTTGCGATCTTGCAAGCATGTGTCTTGTTCTTTGAGGTCTGCTTGTACTCGGTATATCTGCTGGTTCCTCTTGTTGAACTTCTCTTTCGACTTGAGTTTCTGGATCTTCAAGAAGGATTCCCAGTGATTCTTT